TGACTTGGTCCATGCAAGTGAAACACCAACATATGGTTAACATTTTCGTTTTTCGTTCCCTTGGTTAGTATTTCGCATCAAATCGGTGACAACGATAGAAAGTCAACAGAAAGGCCGATTGTATCCAATCATTACACAATGAAACGCGACAAGGTTGACCGGAAAAAGGTTTTGGAATAAAAGGGACGGATACAGATCTACCGAGATAAAAAGACTGAATTAGTAGTATACTACCTCCGTATTTTAGTCATATCTTATTCGGATATATTAGTGCATACTTTTACACTCAGTTGTTTAATGTTACATTTTCTGACGGAGCGTGGTTTTGGTAATCACTGTACAAATGCTAGTTGTGGTCTTCTCGTTTTGGAAATTGTCTCTAAAAATTTGAGTGTCCTTATAAGCTTGAACATGCATTGTATTGCCATCACATGATGCTTTCTGGAAGATTAAAAAAAAGGAATACACACCAGACCAATTCCATAAAGTGGGTCAGTTATCCGGTCGTCACTTTGGGTTATGCGGCTTAAAGAACAAATGGAGAAGCGAAGTGTGTACACGCATGAACAGGTCATTTCGACCAGTCTGGTTTACCACACAATTCGTGAGAGCATAGTTTTGGTCTAAAAGATGGGCCACTGGTTAGCGGGATCACGCTTGGATTAGATTTGAGGAGAAGGGCAGGGACTCGGATTGGTCCGGACCAGAGAACAACAACAACAACAACCGACAAAACACAGACCCGAGCTAATTACATTTCAATCCTATTGGAATACCCTTTTCAAATTAAACAAGGCGCGAGTATTCAACATTCTGTCACCACCATATCTGAGATATCACAGATGACAGGAGATTAGATGGTCTTTGCATGAGTTTGACCTAGTGGGGAAAGAGCCCGTGTGCATGTGTGTGGCACTGAGCGAACAGACAACTTTGTTCTGTTCGACGCAGTTAAGGTCACGAATCTGTGAATGTGAACTCAGTACGCGAGTTATAGGCCGCATTTCAATAAGATTGTAACCGATATTTACGTACTGTGCCTACATCTTCATATCGCACACAAAGCATAATTTTTATAAGCATCGTACACGTAACCAATCTGAAAATGCACCCCGCAGAATGGGAAGATTAGATAAGTTGATTTTCAATGATTTGCTACCATTGGTTTTCAAAAATTGCTTTTCAGAATAGAACTTACCCCTTAAACGATGATATTTCGTCTGATCATATGGCGCACACTGATTGACGACGGACTGAAACAGAGCGAATAAGTCAGAGATGAATACTCGGGAAAACCACGCATCTGGAACACCGACTGATAAGAAATTCCACTAGGCTCCACGGAACGCCACCAAGCGTTATTGACTCACCGAATTCCGTGCAATAAACTTCTTTTTGTAGGATAATATTGGAGGATTTGATGTGATTATATGGTGAATTAATTGTGTAAATGAGGCGTGAGCTGAAAAGCTAGGAAGCAATGGACATTTGGTTCGACCTGAATGGGTCTCATCAGCGATGCGAATAAATCGGTCCAACTGGGGATTGAACCCGGAACCTCACAGGTAGAATGCAAGCGTACTACCCACTTGGTCACCGGGCAGATCGTTTATCATTTTGAATATACATTATATAGCACAATTCATCTTTGCAAGCTTTATGTGGGCATTTCACCTCGCGCATCTCAGTACTAGTCTCCAGGATTAAGTATTTTTATTACAAATCATATGGTGAATGAACAGTGTAGGGATAAACCCTACAGTTATGGGGCATTTCACGATAGGCCTTGGGACATGCAGTAACGAATCGTATAAAGTGCTAATAAGATGAGAGTGGGATCTAGTTGGTGGTCGGTACAACTGAATATTTTAAAAGATTGGTAGTGATGGCAGAGACACAGAAGTTCGGTCGGAGAGCGACTTAAACCGCTTGCATGCTATCATCCTCAACCATATGCAGTCTTAGTTAGGAGTCAAGTGGCTAAGTTCTCTTTTCAAGTGGAGGATGAAAAACTCGAACAAAATGGTCGATGCCCTAGCGCTTATCCTTCGCCTCGTCTACTTTGATCACCATCTCGTCTTCTTCTCTTCCCACCCATCACAAAATGAACTCTGCTTCTAAGCTGTTCTTAACTCAAAGCACCCAATGCAGAGAACTCAAATAGTGTTCTATTTACTTCCTTAACTTCGTTGCTGACTTTCTATTCAAAACAATACCTGTCCTCGCCCAATGGTTGCTGCTGAACTAATTTATCCTCGGAAACTCCCCTTAGATAGTATCGTCTCAAAGTTTAAACCTTCTACGTTTCCCTGTCCAGGTGAACTTCTTTTCATCTGAGATTAATCGGATTGCTTGACTGAGTACCATATCACGTCAGACAGGACCGTTTCAATCGTTTACCAATAATCCCGCAAATTTTTCTAGTTAACTTACTGACATGTATCTGCTTTTTTATTCACACCGTTGGTTATATTGACCTCTCATACTGCAGACATTTTACAGTATTCGGAGGATGTGTTGCATGTATATGTGTGTTAGTGATCATGTCTGACGGCATTTGTTATCATCTCTTATCCGAAATTATCACAAACAAAGAAAGATATCTTGTTGTTACTAATCCGTGACCGCTGGTCAGGCATCTTAGAACCAAACACTCTGCTGTTCGACCAGCAGAGTGGGGCTGATTTCCCGCCTATTTGGCCAGCTCTTTGAACTGAGACTAGTCTGTAAGTCAAAATCTGTCGGCACGAATCCCTCAGTGAGATTTTTCGCTTAATTTTATTATATCATTTTAGCATTATATGGTATGGGCACCGCAACCACATGGCCTTCACCCTTGTTGGTTGGTTAAACACAAAGCATAAACAGCGGGCACACAGATTATCACATGATAGTGAATCATATGATTTTTTGGACAACTCTCATCCATTTTTCTCACTTGAACCCATTATGTTCCCATTTTGTACAAACATCGACCGAAACTCCACTGCATTCAGACTGGTTCTGTTTCTTACTCATATGGAGGACTTGGATGCGAAAAGCACGAATCAAACTGCTAAATCCAGGAAGCCCCTAAACTCTCGCAGCCTGTCTGTGAACAACCCACAAGAGAAGAAATAACAGCGCGAATCCAGTTCTTCAATGACCCATACAACATAAATGGATCGTTAAGTTCAGAACGCTGATGTTCAGTATCTCAGACGTGGTTCAGATAAGGGCCTGCTCCACACTCGAACAATGCATCAAAGGCGCAAACATAGTGTAAGATATGGTAGTTAGGGGAGATATATCAAATTTATTTTTTGACTACTCATGAGTAGTATTCTAGTAAATGAGTTCCATCATTAGATATGGGTTACAGCTACATAATCGATCTCTTGGCTGTTGCGCATGCCACCGATCTGATTGTTTATTTTATCATAAATAAACTAACCGTTTTGGAATTTAAAATTCTCATCAAATGACGGTGATCTACAGACAGACAGACAAAGTTGATATCGAAGCAAGCCTTTCCCGAGATCAATTCGAAAAGAAAAGACCAAATTGAAATACTGCACGATTTATGTCCAGGACGATTTCGCTGCATCTCAACATGGTGCATACTGCAGAAAATACAATACTTAAATAGGGATTTCGCCATGCTTCAGTCGATCTGCAAGTCACGAACCGCAAGATTGCTACGGTTTGCAGAAGCGATTGCTATCAGTCGATGGAAGCCCTCCTTGTGTCAACAAAAAGAACTTTATGTTAGTTTATCCTTACCCTGGTGATAGTCTTTTTTACCCCTCCCCCTTTTATGTTTTTCTTTCTGTTTCATTGTATTTTACTCATCTTTGTTGCCATGCGAAATCCCTATATAAGTATTGTATTTTATGCAGTATGCACCATGTTGAGATGCAGCGAAATCGTCCTGGACATAAATCGTGCAGTATTGCAATTTGGTCTTTTCTTTTCAAAGTTGATATCATCTGACCGCTGTCGATTTGGTTGGGCACATCGTTGTTCGAGCTGAGCCAAAAGTGAGGGCGGACGACGGGGACGATTAGAAACTATCCTAATTGGACTGGTCCTTCGACAGCAAGTCAATTATACCACACTTATTAAATAAATATTCGGATTAAAAAGTGTTATCACACCATATTATTGGGAATTTGATACTAAGGCCAAGGCAGGTGAATCTTGAGGAATAAACAACTGGAGCTTTTGGCTAGCCAAAGCCTGACCCGCAAGGCGGTGTGAAACAACCGCAGTTCATTGGGGGCCGGTTAACCCTTTGGACGGAGTCAGACGTCCAAAGTACCCAATACCGCAACGCAGTACTGTCGCCAATTGCGATTAACGTGACATCATAAACTGGATTCTACTGTTCTTCAGGGCTGACGAACTGCACATTTATTTTCACCACAAGTTGGTGGTCGGATGGCTTGACCTATCCACTAACCTGCACCGAAAATAGCACTGCAAACCAATTTTACTATCGTCAAAATTCAAAACATTTCTTTGGTCCCTTCAGGTCACAGGACTTGATTTTCCGGTTCATATATCAAAACTGCAGTAGTTGTGGTTTAACCACTAGATAGCTCATCACACCGAATAAAACTTTGACTTTGTGTCATAACAGATCATCATATAGCTTGATGAGAAATGGATGAAAAAACGAGCAACGTGAAATTGTATGAATACTGCTCTCCATGATTATCCTACTCGCATTAAAACGGCAGTCACGTGATTGTTGCTTGTTCTAAGTGAACCGATTGGCTTGGCACTACTTACCTCCAAGGTCCGATTAATCAATTCCTCTTATATGTCGAGGTGTGAAATAAACTGTTAGAAAGGTTTTGTTTGATTTTATTTTTGGCAAGTTTTACGGCACACCAAGTTTTATATAATATTTATATATTCTACATATTAGGACTTTAAATACTCCAATGCGGTTTAAAACAAATAGGTAGATGGACTAGCATAGCATGTATGCGAGGAATGAGTATAATTGAACATTTCTAACGCACCTGACATTGTTCACGTAGCACCTGAAAATCCCGCGCTTCGCAAAGAGCAGAATCCCAAAATATTTGGTCTCCAAAAGCCAGATCCGGTGAAAGCACTTCACAACGAAGAATCGGACAATACACGGCTAGGCATGTTGCATTGGGACCTTGATTGGTCAAGTGATCATGCCGATTGGTCATGTGCTGGTCAATAGTGTACTCGGAAACAAATCGCTTTCCGCATGCTTGGCATTCCCAATCACGAGCGGAATTTTTTAACTTGATCGCCTCCTGGATACGGAAAATGTCGTGTACGGGGTTCCACGGGCAATTTGGCGGATAATCGAGACCAGCAAACTCGTATAGAGGGTAGACAATCTCAATAACAATTGAATGAACAAATAAAGCACGGTACTTACTTCTTGAAGAATTTCTCTCGCCGTTCGGCTTTCCGAACGACTACAAGAGGCGGAAAGCTGTTTTGCTTGTTGGGAACTATACACACAAACCGAAACAGTCGAAAGAAGAATAAGGAAATCGATGACAAGCATTGGATCTCAGTGACCTCACAGTATATGTAGTGGGAGTGTTGGGGCCTATAATGAATCAGGAGGAAGATAAGTTAACTCAGCCAAAAAAAATTGAAGGAAATCTCTCATGTTACCAGCTGGGAATAAGCGATGCCAAAACGAAATATGACAAATTCATTTTCATTATTTAAAAAAATAGGTGAGTTTATTTATTTTTTTGACTGATTGAAATAAAAAAATGTGAAAGTTTTAATTCCTCGGACACTTTTAAATTTTTCAGTAGGATAAGTCGGTAGCAAAACTGTTGATCATTTCTTATGAGGGAAAAAGAATTGCCTGTATCATTTTAGTTTTCAGTTCTTACAACCATTAACCATGCACTTTCGTGCTCCGGTTTTAGTTGCTGTCTTTTGATTACCCATTTGGATAAAGCAACAGAATGAAGATTAGAATGTTGACAGCAGATCCAAGCGGAAGATAAAGAAGTCATCTGAACTGAAGTCACAAGAATAATGAGTAGATGCATCAGTGCACTGTTTGCGACACCAAGCCATATCGCTCAGTGTATCTAACTATCGGTGATCA